ACAGAGTTAACTTAAAATTACAAAAGCTGCATATAATCTCTATTGCAATAAACAGGTTCACCTACTAACATACTGGAAGGAGACCTCGATACACATACAGTGGCACAGATCTAGCACTCTGCTATTCTACAGGTGAGATAACAAGAAGGAGACAGATATACTTGTGTCACGATTATATATATATATATATATATATATATATATATATATACACCCGGAATCTATGGGCAACAATTGTAAACTATTAAGGAGCATATGCCTATCAATTCCTTCTAATCTGGATTTAGCAACAGTTCTTCCTTAGACAGGACATGTAGCCAGACTTTCTCTCTTTTCACTTCCTCCTTCTGAGGTTTTCAACCCAACAACCCAGAGACAGGAAATGCATAAATAAAATATCAGCAGCCCAGGCATTTACAAATATAGGCAGTAGAGGGCAGCAGTGCCTATAAGATATAGATTTTCAGAGAGAAGGCACAGTGAATCATAACAATCGTACTATAGAATAGAATGCAGAATCTGTTCATTTAATAAACAAATATGATGTTACCGTGTGCAGATAAATAAATGTACAAACTATACACAAAGTCTTAAAATCATTAAACACCTCAGGTAATCCAGCTAATTTATTGAATATACAAATGTAAAAATACCCACAAAAGGGGCTACACAGTGGGATTGATTTACTAAAGGCAAATAGACTGTGCACTTTGCAAAATACAAAATCACTCTGGAAGAGCAGTTGCTCCAGTGCATAGTAAATGAGCAGAAGCTCTGCTGACTTATATCATCCCATCATAGCAAGCAAAAATTTTGTGTTTTTTTAATTTTATTTACATGTGATTGGATTTCTTTGCAAAGTGAAGCTTCAGCTAATTTAGTAAGCTCTGTAGCAGCTTCACTTTGCAAAGTGCACAGTCTATTTGCCTTTAGTAAATCAACCCCATTGCATTTGCATGAGGTTTGTAATTATAAATGTACATGGGAGCAGACATATTAGCTCATTAGATATGCAATGCTGCAGAATGCTTCTGTTTTATAGCTATCACTCACAATGTGCATGTTTGGACCCTCTAACCTCTAAACACAATGATATCTTATCTAAACAATTCTTAGTCAGGAACTTGTTTTGGTGGTAGTGTCTAATCTTCTTCCTTAAGCCTTGTACACATGATGAGAATATCGGACAAATGATCGTCCAGTTTTTTGCATGCTAGTCGCGTATTGAAAATAAGAGGTTACTAAAGAGGTTACGGTTAAAGTTACGAAAATTCATGTATGACAGAATACAACTTCGGAAGTGATGTAATGCATTATATTGTAATGTATTCTTTCATTGCTGAGCATGGGTGGTCTTGGTCTTTCGATTTTTTTCAGACAAATACTGCACTGATTAATCAAAAATCGTACATTTTGGTATCGTACAAGAAAACATTTTGTGTTTTTCCCTTCAGATAAAATATGAGATCAGCTTATTGTATCAGATAATCATATGATTGTACGATCACTTCAAAAGCAGTATTTTTCATCCAATTTTTTGATCATGTGTACTAGGCATTAGAGGCTTATTATAAAAATCTCTTCATGTATTACAATAACAAAATATGGATATGGAAAATTTTGTCACATCAGCCGTTGCAACACTGCAAAAAATGATGCACCCCCTAACATAACATTATACTCATCCATTGAGAGATTTTTTTTTTTTTTTTTTGGGTGGGGGTGTGGATTTCTTCCACCAAGCTTTTTGCTGGCAAACACATTTTTCAGAGATGGAAGTAATTATTTTTCTTTTAAAGAATAATGCATCAAAAACTTCCTGTTTAGATACTACTGACAGTGGGTCTCTAGCCTTAGGCTTGGAAACACTTATGTGATGCTAGCATTGAAAGAGAAACAAATAGGCAGTATCTGAATATACTGTTTATTTACATACAGGTGTTTTTTACTATCCCAACTAAATATGCAATACCACATACCATAACATACAAAGTAGATGATTTATGATGTTTTTAACAATTTGGTATTAATTTAATTATTTTCACCATTTGCATCCCATGCTTTTGCTTGAGTAGATTTCCTAATTGAAAAAGTATTGTACTGCTGTTTTAAGTTAGCAGAAACAACCACAATATATTGGCATACACAGGAAGCCAAATGTCCATATAATACAGACAGACCTCTGCATGTAACAACTATGAGAAAATCCATTCCATATGGGAATATATTGTAGTTGAAGCATGTTTATTTTGGCAGAATATTCATTAATGGCAATGTCAGTTGGTAGAGAAAGATTACTGGGATTAGTGCCAGTTCTAGAAATATCTCAACTTGCACTAAATGTCTAATTTTTCCACAATATAAAAAAAAACCTACATGTGGCAATACATAAAGGGGCTGACCTACTAAAAGAGTGGAAAATGTTTCCGTAACAGAGTAAAGCTGCAATAATTTCAGTCATCTAATCATGGCAACATTCTGGGTTTTCCTGTTTAGGGTATGTATTGTTTTACTAAATACTAGACATTTTCTCCATAATGCATTCTTGCATTAAGGTAAAAATTGTCCAAGTATCTTTCAGTGCTCCCCGGTCCCCAAACACTTATTTGTGGATTTATGTTCACCACCTCTAGGTCAGGACCATCTGTACCACTTCACTGGGCTGTAGAGAGGAGTCCTGAGGGTATAGATCCAATAGGTACCTTCTGCTGTCAGTCAAAATACTGGGAGGAGGAACAAGCAGGTACATGGCTATCTGGGCACTGTGTGTGTGTCTATGGATGCACAGCTCAGCAAAATGCACAAGCAGCAGTGCAGACACGTGTGTCCCTTTAGCACCCAGCTGAAGGAGACACGCTTAATTGGATGGGGAGGGGAGCAGCTTTGGAGACTGACTGGAGAAGATGGACAGGTGAAAAATTTAAAGAACAAGAACTATCATCTAAGTTATGAATGTACCTCTTCTGCTAAAAAAGGAGGTGTGTGCTAATTACACATTCCATTCCCTACTTCTTCAGTGAATAAAATCCACATTTTTTGTGCTTCTAGAAGATAATCAGGCAATGTTTATGCCAACAATGAAGACAACAGATTATTGTCTAGAATTTCTGTTGACTTTTACCTATGATTTATTTTCAGATTGTGATAATAGGGACATTGGAAGACATGTATGGTCCTGTCTAAGTAAGTCAAAATATTATATTATTTTATATTATATTGTATATTAATGCATATGGGTAGCACAGTGGCTAAATAGCTAGCATCTTCCGCTTGGCAGTACTAGGGTCGTTTGGTTCGAGTTAAACAGCTTTACCTCTCAGTGTTGATAGTAAGAACTTAAAGAATACTTGCTCTTTGAATAGAATACTAAATTTTAAAATCTGTCATATCTTTGTCTGATGTGACATCTGTCACAGATGTGTCTTAAAAGTCAGAATTGCTATAGCAGATACTATGAATGGTGACTGTTTCCATGAAATCATATAGTGGCCACTATGCTTATGTGAAGAGGGATAACTGTGGTTTTAACTAATCCAAGTGATGACCTGTGTGAGTCAGCTGGCATTTAGATTGTTGTGCTTCAAGCTGGAAAATCTCTGTGCAGGATGAGACTGAGAGTGCCATTGTCACAGGTGTGAATAAAGTCTAAGGCTGCTCCTTCAGCCAGTCAGAGTCCTGATCTCACCACATCTTCACCATCTGTTTCTCACTCTATCTGCAGTTTTGTCAGATCATGTGGGAAAGGGGCAACAATCTACAGCTAGGGAAAAATATCTTGCTGCGAGGCTTAAAGAGCCAACAACCATCACTTGAATAAATGGTTCACATGAATAAATGGTTGTTTTAGTAAACCATCATGGAATTGCACTTCATGAAACCATGCTCACAGGGCTGGATGAATGTAGAAAGACAGTTTCACAGTAAAAGTAAAGATAAAACTCAAACTTTAATTACAAAAATACATATAATGCACAATTATATTCACACAGATCTCTCACTTGACTTTACCCTTAACATTGCCAACATCATGCATATGGTCAAAGCTGATTTATAGTCATGATAATCCAGGGTCAAACATGCTAACCATAGACTCCTTTATAACCCATTTATCTCTTTAATACCAATTTTAAATGAGTACCAAAAAGGATATACAAGTACACTCACTGGCCACTTTTATTAGTTATACCTGTTCAATTGCTTGATAACACAAATTGCTAATCAGCCAATTTCATGGCAGCAACTTAATGCATTTAGGCATGTAGATGTGGTGAAGACAACTTGCTGAAGTTCAAACCGAGCATCAGAATGGGGAAGTAAGGGGATTTAGGTGACTTTTAAAGTGGCAGGGTTGTTGGTGCTAGATGGGTTGGCCTTGAGTATTTAAAAGACTGCACAACCATATCTAGGGTTTACAGAGAATGGTCCAAAAAACAGAAAATATCCAGTGAGTGGCAGTTGTGTGGACGAAAATGCCTTGTTGATGTCAGAGGAGAATGGTCAGACTGGTTCAAGATGATAGAATGGCAACAATAACTCATGTCAATATGGATCAAAAATCTCAAGAATGTTTCCAAAACCTTGTTGAATCTATGCCATGAGGAATTAAGGCAGTTCTGAAGGCAAAAGGGGGTCCAACCACATATATCTATTTTTTTTTATCTCTGTCTGACCTATTAAAATAACAGACTAATCTTCAATATTTTTCTAGAAAATCAAAAACCAGTAATTACATGCATGTCACAAAGTTGCTGGTGTCCAATTAGGATTTTTAAAATTTGCAAGCTCAGGAGTAACAAATGCCTTTATTTGGAAAGTAACACAAATAAAACAACAAGCAAAAAAAAAAAAAGAAACGATAGTATTGTATAACAAATACATTTTTTCATCTTTCAGCTGGGAAACTAGATTACACAGTCAACAAGGAGAATAAAGTTATAACTGTCCATGTTTCAAATTTTCTTGAGGACTATGATTACAATGTACGCCTTTGTAAGAAACATTTTGTCTGTCATGACATTGGAGCTCACGCAATAGTAAGTATGATATATAATAGTACTTGTGGTACTTTTATGAAATGTTTTTATTGCCTTTAAAGTCACTAATAGAATCATAATTCAGAGCAGATGTTACATTTTACTGACCATAGTGAGGCCCTTTGGAAGTCTAGTTATGCAGAGTGCGGTTGGAGTTGATGAAGAGATTATCCATAAGTATGTTTGTGTTGTGGGCATCCATTGTTGTACAGCACAACAACACAGATCACTGTTTACATTAATAGAAGACATCAAGAAAACGCATTCAAAGTTAAAAGAAAAGAAAAAACTATTGCCGGAGCTTCAGACTAAAAGATTTAATCTGTTCTACCTTGTTGTTCCTCTATGCACATATATACAGATCTAGAGTGAAAACCATTCAAAAGAGAACAGAGACAACATTTAGTGAGAGAGGCTGGTGTAACATGTGAATTGAAACCTTCTTCCTTATATCCAAATCACAACCCTTGATATTCATATTCAACCTGTGGAAATTGTTTATACAATAGAGGAATCATTTCATTTTTAATTACGGCAATAAGCCTAGTAGAAGCTCAAATAATTGGAACTAAAATGGAAAAGTGGATGTGCAGGGCATAGGGATAATACAGTATTTTAGTATGTGCAAAATGCAATGTGTGCACAAAGCTGGTGTATAGAGTACATGGGAGGATCAGTTATAATTGGGTCCCAGGGTCTTAGGAAGCTACCCCCTGGAGTTGTGGATTTTGCAAAAAGATACCTGGGAAAATGGTCTGAGTTCAAATGGATAAAACTGCATTTCTCAATAACCTCTGTAATGCTATCCACACACACACATTATGTTTCCACATTTCAATGGTGCCAAACATCTTAGCTGGTTTTAATACTACTGTATATCCAAATCACAATTAAAATTATGATCTTGAAAGGAAGGGATCATAACCCAAAACCAGATTTTTAGTCTGAACAGAATATTAAAATAGAGCATGTAAGCATTGTAAGGAAGCAACACTAGCTAAACTGTCAGTACTTTTAATCTATGTTCATCTATAGATTTAATCTGCAAATCTGTAAAGAGAGCTGAAACATATCCACTATTAGTTGGACGCCTCTGAATTACATGATCATATTAGTTGATCAGGCATGCTTAGACTGGTAGTCTGGCAGTTCTAGCATTTGCCAGAACTGGTAGACTAAAGGTTCTTTTTTTTCTGGAAAATAACAAACATGTCTATACTTACCTGCTCTGTGTTTTGGTTTTGCACAGAGCAGCCTGGATCCTCCTCTTCTCGGGTCCCCCGCAGGCTCTCCTGGCCCCTCCCTCCTGTCAGATGCCCCCACAGCAAGCAACTTGCTATGGGGGCACCTGCTACTCCATGTGTCCAATCACACACGGAGCTGCGGCTTGGCCCCACCCAATATCTCCTTATTGGCTGACTGGCTATGATTGACAGCAGCGGGAGCCAATGAGGAAGCAGAGAACCATGACAGCCGATGCTACATCGCGATGAGGCTAAGGTAAGTACTGAGGGGGCTGGGGGAGCTGCTGCACACAGAAGGTTTTTTATCTTCATGCATTCATACAACCACTTTAAGCTGGCAACACATGGATTAAAATGTGTCCGGTTCAGCAGGGACCAGCCAAATATAGATTCATGCATGGGCAGACTGATTGTACCAAAGTCAATACATCAATTGAATTGGGTACAACCAGCCTGTAGGATATTTTTACAAGCAATCAGTGTGTTCTAGCACCTGGGAAGGCTCCCCTCACCCCCTCTCTGCAAGCAGAACACAATAGCGCTGTGGGAGCAATTAACCCATCAGCACTGATTGCGTTAATGTTAGAATCGAGCGATATTCTTTCCATCCACCTATGGTGGAAGGAAATAAAATTGAATCATCTGTGGGCTGCCTTAGTGTTGAAACTGCTCTTTTACCCCTATTGTGTTTGCTACTAACACAGTGATATGTCATTAGACAATAGAACAGGTAACTTCTGCATTATTTGCATCATGTATGGATAGGGAAGTTGTATTTTTTTACACTGCATTTGCAATGAATAACCTAGTCTACCTGTGCCTCAGATTTAAATAACTATTACGATGGCGAACACTGCCATCCCATGCCTTTCATGGCAGGCCTAGGTCTCTTGGGTATTTTGCTTGCAGCCTGCTGCATTATGGGATCAGAGATGGGAGACAGCCACAGGTCAGCCATAATAATGCCCATCACTAGCTGCTTTAAGCATCACATATAACACTAGGTATATCTGTGACTTTAAATAAGAAGGTTTTTAGCACTGATGCCACTAGAGCAAAATTGTTCACCCCTGCTAGGTAAATAATCATCTGAGAAAGAAAAAAGTTTCAATGGATCAGCTTATAAAACTAAATTTTTTTTTTTTGATGGATGCTTACTTAAAGATAAAATCCCTCAAGTGTTATTCAGCATGACGAATCCAATATGTACTTTGAGAAAGCAGCCATTTTAAATAGTTAAAATTAAAAGTTGTAACCTTTAGTTATTACCTTTGTTAGTCAGAAAACCCTCCATTTTGTGCCTCTTTTAAAATAGTTCCAGTTCGTTCTTAGGGACCCAACTTCAGGTGTAAGGCTGGCCATACATTATACAATTATCTGGAGATTTTTGGTTTAGATTTACCAAAAACCACATAATAAGAGGACAAAACTAAACAACACTTTCAGTTGTATCCAATTAGGCAGGCCCTTGCACTACACAGTTGAAGGTAAATCTAAAGGAAATTGGACAGAAAATTGGAAGATAATTGTATAAATGTATGGCCAGCCTAAGTCCCCAGCAACTGCCACGCCCTGTTCAATGAAAAAGTCATTATTGACAGCTGAGGCACTTTTATTAGATAAGGGTGGCAGTTGCCAAAATATAGCCCTGAAATCAGGAAACCGGACCACTATTATCAAAGTAAAAAAGTTTCTCTTTGCTACTAAGGGTTACAAAAATGCTTTATGATTTGTCACATTTCTAGGCCTGACATGGCATTCTGGAAACTCTGGCTTTTCTCACAAAGAAGCATTTTGTTGCCTGATAGGCTCTCTAAGCTGTCAGTAGTTTCTAATGTATGTCTATACAGATAGTAAGCCAGTGTCCAACCCCAATATAATTAACCCTATTGTAGACACTTAGCACTATTCTGCTTTTTAAAGGACCATACACGGTATTATAAATGAAACAACTGTTTTGCCATTAGGATTATCAAGTATGGGTCAATCCATTTATATGTTTATGTGTTACAGATCAGAAAGGAAAATGCAACCAAATCTGTTACACTGCCATATTCAGAGATTTTACCTTGTTTATGCATTGAGGTAAATATTATATGTACTGTAAATTGTTACACTTTTTTATACATATTTTCTTTATGATCTTGTGTTTATCAGAGCCAACCAAAGATGTATTTGTTTTAGGTGGTAAATTCTATTACAAAACCTGTAGTTTTATGCTCTGCTTATCCAGTAACTCCACTTTTGTTGAGAAAAAAAATATTCTCCCCTGTTTGATTCATGTACATTGCAAGGATTTCAACAAACTTTATTCCAACCTTTTGGTATTCTGAATAATTAGATGTTTGTTTGTCTGTGTCCACCAATGTTCACACGAATGCAGTGCGGGGGGAAACGCTGCGAATCCAGTGCGTTTCCTGCACCGCATTGCAATCGCATCCTGTTCATGTGATCTGGTGCAGGTGTCAATGATAAATTAACCCCTTGATGCCGAGCACACACAAATATGCAGCCTCTCGGTGTCTGGGCCTTGATGCCAAGCGGCCGCATATTTGCGTGCAATTAGAAAAATACATATGTGCTGAGAACGCACACCCTGCGCGCTCCCAGCACATATGTCCGTGACTCACGGAAAGGTTCCGATCTCCCCTTTCAATCAGGACCTTTTCCGATCATGTGACCGCCGTGACGGCAAATCACAGCAGTCACATAACCCTGAAACCCCTCCTGGCTTCTGAAATTCTTAAAGGGCCGGGAGACGCCGGCGCAAAGTGGTTAATGACACCCCAAAAACAGATCACAAAAACACGATGCAATTGCCAGAAATCACATCACATAGGTGAGAACACCCATGCGATGCGATTCATATGCAGATTTTAAAAAGGGTTCTGCACTTTATTGGTGCCGATGCGATGCGATTTGAGCCATACAAAATGTGAACAGTGTGAACCCGGGCTCCATGTGCAGAGTGAATCTGTATGGGAGTGCTTTTATAATTATCAGTCAGCTGCTGCACCTACAGGGCACTAAGGAGGTCAATTGCAGGGGCTGCATCCCTTTAGATGTGATTTCCTATAGGGACTATCTCAACAAAAATGACATTTTTGTTGCAGGGGATGGCAAAAATCTGACTTGTATCTTAGTGCAGACATCTGGGAATATCAGTGAGCAAATCACACAAGCAGGAAATTACATTTTCAGGAGATGTTCTGTACACATTCTGTGTATTGTGTAGAGAACACCACCAGGTTGCCATATTACATTGCATTTTAGAGAAAATTACAGTGCTGCAGTTTGAAAAGGAAAGGCAATTTTTTATCAACATTCAATAACAATATGCCTTGAGTCGCAACTATAAAAGCAATATTATTTTTTTTTTATTTGATAAAGTGGAGTTACCCTTTAAGCTCTTAAAGCATCGCAGTGAAAGCATATATTGTGCCTTACATTATATAAAATAGTATGTAATTGCGCCTTGGTTATATATCCTGTTTATACTGTGGAAATTGAGCCTTGGTTTATATATTTTCCCATCTTTCTGGTTTATACTGGTGGACTTTATCAAAACTGGAGCAGATAGAATCTTAGAGCAGCAGTGCATGGCAACCAACAAGCTTCTCTCTTTCATTTTTCAAGTGTAATTAAACAAGCTGAAGACAGAAGCTGGTTGGTTGCAATGCACAACTTCAAATTCTGTCTGCTCCAATTTTGACAAATTCCTCACTATGTATCCAAATTTACCCAAACTAGTACTCTAGATTCCAAATCACATTTGAAGGCCTAGGGTTTATCTACTAACTCTTTAAATCTATACTCTTATTCAATAACTATTGCAGATGAAAAACAAAACTTACATTTATGGGCATGCTGTATGCATATGGCAGCACGGTGGCTTAGTGGTTAGAACTTCTGCTTTGCAGCACTAGGTTTCATCTGTTCAAATTGCAACCATGAAACTACCTGCGGAGTTTGCATGTTTTAGGTCTAGTATGAGCGTTTCCTCACACTCCAAAGGCATGTTTATTAGTTCCTGTTTAAACTGGCCCTAGTATATGCATGTACTGTGTGTATATGATTTTGGTCTGGGGATATATATATATATATATATATATATATACACATGTCTGTACTCTGTATACTGTATGTTTGGTAGGAACCTTGGATTGTACGCTCCTTGAGGGCAGGGACTGATCTGAATGTACAATATATACGTAAAACACTGTAAAAATTGTTGGTGCTATACAGTAATAATACCTCTAATAAATGGTATGTATACACACATATATACAAATTATCTAGCTCTCAAAATTGTCCTGTTTGTTCACTTTATTTACCTATTTGTCTTTCTATGTAGAACTTACAATTTAAACTGTGCAAATTTTTCTCTTAAAGGGATGGTCAGCAATTCCTGATGCACGAAGGACCCGACTCTGCCCCTTTAAAAAATGGCAAGTAGTCATTATAAAATTGTTTGTTCATGACATTTTACCCTGTTCAGTCATTGCTTATTTGCACCTCATAAAACAACTGTATACGCAGCTGAGTGATGTCACATCAATTCAAAAGACAGTAGTAACAGTGCTTTCAGTTGTAGGTCTAACTTTAGTTTGGGGTGAACATTCCATATAACTTTAAGTGGAACTTAATTTTGCTTGTAATCAATCATAATATTTAAAAAAAATTTTAACCATCCTTCAAACACCTGTACTTGTGATTAAAACCATTTATAATTTTTGTGGCTTAAAATATTAAAACATTGCTTCAAATGTTGTTATCCATAGCTTGATGGTTTTATCCCTTTTGCCTTAACTGAAACTTCATAACCTTTTCATATGTAATATCTATTTTTGCATTTTACTTTAAGCCTGGGTTCACATATATGCAAATTCAGATGTGTTTTGAACCGCACCAATTCACATGACAGGTCAAATAAAATACTTTTCTTCGGAGCCCATTCACATGCATGCTGGCCAGCTGCAGTGCAATTTTGAAAAGGGTCCTGCAATTTCCAACCTGATACACTTAAACAATTCACAGCGGAACTGCTTGAGCAAAACCACACTGGCCATCAAAATCGCTCCACATATATGTGAACTCAGGCTCAGGGCTATACTACAACAAAGTCCAAGTATTGGTTGTCATCTGTTATGCGAGAGAAAAATTAGGTTTTAGTTTGCTTGTAAGGAGTGTAGATGTAAATATCTACTGTATCTTAGGAGCTTTTTATATACACCATGTGCTTGTCTGCACCTGTGAAATGCTGAAAGCAGACTAAAAAGCAGACCTGTCATTAAAACCATATTAAGGCCCTATTCACTGTTGGGCAAGCTGCATTCTGCGGGTAGGACAGCCCATTCATTTCCTACCACTGGCATCATGAGGGTTGGTGTCACCTGGTGCAGTAAAAACATGGTGTCACCCCCATCCCCCAAATACAGTCCCCCCTTAGTACAGACCCCCTCTCCACCAAGTATAGTCCCCTCTCATTACAGAACCTCCTCCCTCAGTACATACTCCCTCTCCATTAAGTACAGACCCCTCTCCCTCAGTACAGACCCTCTTCCTCAGTATAGACCCCCTCCCTCAGTACAGACACCCCTCTTCACTTGTGCGAGTAGGGAGGTGAGAAGGGTCCATTATGTGCTGGGGGGCACTTTGGGAGGGGAGGACTTGTGCTAGTAGGAAGGTGGAGGGGTTGGAAAAGTGCTGGGGGCCCTTTGGGAGGAGAGAGGGCTTGTACTCCTGTGGGGGATTGGATTTCAAATCCAAACACCACTTCTAACATAGATCCTTTCCCCTCTCAAAGTGCCTCCCTCAAAGTGCCATATCCTTCTAACCCCCCCCCCCCCCCAACCACAATCACTCCTCCATCTTTTTTAACTGCCCCTTTTCCTGGTCCCTCTATCCCCCTACTTTGTCCATCTATAATATAATAAACTTAGTACAGACCTCAGATCAGCACAGGACATGCACAGCAGTGTCCCTCCTCCCCTCCCCCACTTGTGTACATGTAAACAGCGGAGGAGGGGGAGATGGATTTTGTCCATTCTGCTGTGTGAGACAGGGAGACAGCGTGGACAGAGATGGCAACCAAGACAGCCGGCGAGGGATGCGGATCAGTATCACTGGTGCAGTGTTACCAATGCCCATGCCGATGAATGTCACTCCTCTGACGGGTGTCTCCCAGTCCACACCCCCGCACCCCCATAGTTATGCCACTGTTTCCTACCCATAGAAAAATAGGGCAAAGAAGTCCCAGACCCTTTTTAAAAATCAGGCCACAGGGAATTGCCTGGTGCTGCAGCACCATGTGACTTTGCATGTCCAAAACTGATGGTATTTTGTGTGGGGGGTGCCATAAAGAATGAATGGCACCACCACTTGTCTGATAAACAGCAGTGCATTTCTCTTGTATGTTCAGGGCGTGAACTAGCCTGTCTCACATATGTGTATGTGCAAGTGATAAGGACAATGGTGCACATACACATATGTGTATGTGCAACTGATAAGGACAATGGTGCAGAAATGTTTACAATGTGCAGTGCAGAGTAGAACTAGTGTGTACCTATTTTGTTTTCAGTTCTATCAATTTTAACCTTAAGGCCTTATTTTTTGTGTGTCTGTAAGGTGTGCCTAGCATTTTTGTTTCTGCCTCTAAACACCCCTGTATGCACGCATCCAGGCACACATTTAGAGGAATTTAGAGGCAGGGGCATTCAGAGGCAGAAAAAAACCCATAGCCAGAGTGTCCAGGGCAGAAAAAATGCTTGACGTGTGTAAACGAATCTAAACACATTAACGCTCTGCGCATTTGGCGATTAAGAGTTAATTAATTTGAATCGCCAGAATAAATGACTATTCTGGCCAATGAAATGAATTAATGCCCAAGTGCTTGACATACCTAAATACACCTAAACACATTACACACGTTTACAAGCATTAAGCAATTTTTGTGCCAAAAAGGTGCTGCTAGGGGAAAGGCACCTAGGGGAGATTAGCAAAACGTCCAGTGTGCATGAGGTCTTAAGCAACTGCAGGCTCCAATAGTATAGATCAACTTTTCTCAAGCAGGATTCCATGGAACCCTCGGGTTCCTCCAGAGATTTCTAGGGGTTCCTTGAGCAATGTGCGCAATGTCTACCTCTCAGATAAGTAACCACTGACCACAATTATCTTTTTTAGCTATTTATAAGAGGCATATTCTTCCTTTTCCCCTAATTATAAGGAAAATGCTTCCTTTTGACCATCATACTAATATACTATGAGCTGTAGATATAGTAATTTTTAGCAGGGGTTCCCTGAAACCAGAAAGGTATTTGCTCCATGTTAAAAAAAAGTTGAGAAAGGCTGGTATGGATCATGATGGTCACCTCCTAACAGAAACCCTTCCCCATAAAAAAGGATTGTACATATGACATAGACCCTGAGCTAAACATTTGATTACTTTTCTCCACCATATATCGTAAAAGCATTAAAAAAAAAAACTAGATAATAGTTTGAATAAACATGCAAAATAGGTGCATGATATGTATATAAATTCTATTTGAAGTATAATTAGAATAATATAAAGTAAACACAAAATATTTTACACTTGCCTGCAGCCTTTTGATCTATAGCTGCACCCAAAGGCTCACAGACTCACCAGTGGTGGCTGAATGACAGATATCCACTCTGTCAATAGTATTTTGAAAAATTTGGCTCAGTGTCCAAGGGAGAGAGGATTAAAGATACAAGAAACCTAAAAACAGCACCAACAAAAAATGTAAAACTAAGTAGACCAGATGGACAGAAAACTTTAAAAATCTTCAGCCCCTCTCACAGACTAGTAGTGGGCCCTTTAACTGAGACAGGCTATAATTAAAAGTAGACCTTTAGTCGAGCCTGGCAATGAGCTGAACAGAACTCTTCCTCCTTAGCGCTCCTCCTAGGTGCTCCTCCTTAGTAGCCAAATGCTCCCACACATAGGTGGTCATTAGGAAGAAAAATGGCCTCTAAAAATTGTGGTCAGTTAGGGAAAGCTAGGGACTAGTAGCTAGTGGTAAGAAGAATGTCCTTATGCATTACTGATTTTCAGGAATAAGAATGCTCTCTCATATTGGTGTGCAATTAGATGAATTATTCCTCCTTACATTAGTGGCCAGTGGGAAGAAAAATGTCCCTTTTACACTGGTGGTCAGCACTAACAAGAATTCTCCCTTATATAATGGTCAACTGGAAGAAAAATGCCCCCTTACATTGGTGGTCCATGGTAAAATGTCTGACCCCATTGGTGGTCAGTAGAAAGAAAAATACCTTTTTACACTGATGGTCAGTAGAAGGAAAAATGCCCCCTTACATTAGTGGTTATTAAGAAGAAGAATGCCCCCATGGTCAGTGGGCAGAAGAATGCCTCTTTACAGACTCTTGTATCATAAAAATTAATTGGCATTTGAAATGACTGAAGTATTTAACTATAAATAGAAAGCCAAGCCTCAATTTTAGCAGTTGCGCCTAAATACCAAATATTGCTCTGGTCATGAAATGGTTAACGGGCAATTCACTGGTATGCAAAAAACAAGGAACAAAGCTTTTACGCTTGTTGGCTAGGTTTATATAAGCCAAATAAACCAGGATAAGGAAGTGACAGTATAGGTGGCTTTAAAATATACAAATTTCACATGGCAGCTGGTAAAACTGTGAACAGAGAACATGTACTGTAATTGTTTTTTAAATTTCAACTGGGTTCAAAAACAAACAAAATAAAACCTAAAACTGAAGTTTAATTATTTGCAAATCAAGGTTTAGTGATGTACAAGAAATTGTATATACATGTATATACATGGTTATGCATATTGGTTGCAGAGAGTGATAATTGATTCATTGTCCATAGGGTCTAAGGTTGTGAGTGGTGTGACCTGGGGTTCTTTCTTGGGGCCAGTGCTGTTTTTTTTGTTTAGTAGTTATATGAGGTAGGAATTAGGAGCTCAATTTCAGTGTTTTCTGATGATAACAAACTTTGAAAGCCAATGAAAAGAGGTCTAATCTTAAATTACGTGAGGAGTTCTTTACTAAAAGAGCAGGGGAAATGTGGAACTCTCTCATTCAGGCAGTTGTATCAGTTGAGAGGGTTAATAAATTCAAAACACTTTTAGATGTCTTTCCAGGTGAGCATATAATTTACAGGGGTATGAGAATTCTTCTTTACTTAAATTCACACACATAGTTGGGTTCAACTAGATGGATTAAAGAAAAAGCTAGAAATTGTTGTTTTATGGATTATGTCAGCCTTTTTTCAACCAGGGTGCCTTCAGGCCTCTTCAGGGGTGCCTTGGCAAAATTCCTAAAAATTGCCCAGAAATTGTATACAAGCCAGTGGGTGGATCGAGCCTGCCTTTTAGTTATAGGGAAGCCACAGGTTTTCATTGTACACCATTGCAACCTTCTAGCCACTGGTGTCCTAACAACCAAT